TCTAATTTGTCTGATATAAGGATTGCCACCCCAGCTTTCTTTTGGTGTCCATTAGCATGGTAAATGGTTTTCCACCCCCTCACTTTCAATCTTACCCAAATGTCTTTTGACTACTGAGTAAACACACTATGTTACATCCATACAATGGAACGCCATTCAGCAATAAAAAGGAACTGACACATACAACACACATATGAATCTCAATGCATTATACCGAATCAAAGAGGCACACTCAAAAGGCTTCCCACTGTATGATTCCATTAATATAAAATTCTGGAAATACTACAGGGACAGAAAACTGATCAGTGATCGTCAGGGGCTGGGGGTCAGGGGAGGGGTTAACTACAAAGCAGCACAAGGGAACTTTCAGGGGCTGATGATAGAAATGTTCTGTTGGACTGTTGTGGTGGTTGCTCAAAGGTATGCATTTATCAAAATCCCTACAACTATACCAAAAAGTCGATTTTACTGCACATAAATTAAACTTCAATAAATCTTACTTTTTAAAAAATTATGATATATCCATACAGTCGTATGTTATGTAATCATTAAACAAATAAGAGTACCATATATGCTGGTAAGAGGATAATCTCTAACATACATTGTTAGGAGCAAAAAGCAAGATACAAAACAATAAATACGTGATGCTTCTATTTATGGTACTACTGGCCTTCTCTGGGGCAGGGATCTGGAGCAGGAGCGTATACCCTTCTGCACATTTTCAGTTATTATTTCTTTAATCATATGCTTGTATTACTTTCAATTGGAAAAAGTGAAAAAAAAAAAGACAAACCACACCTATATCCAGGTCAAGGAAAACTCACAAGTGTCTGGCCCAGAGGACTGAGTCAAGTAAGCCTAAGAAAACATTTATAAGAATATGGAACATAGCACCAGACACTCTAGAGGTACTCAATAAATAGCTGGGGGAAGAAAATTATTTGGAATGAAGTCAGAAGGCAGACCCTGGACAAAGAGATCTCCATCTAGACACCAGATATTCAGCTAGCAGAGCCCCTATTTTAGACAAGGAGCTAAACTTGGATTGCTCACATTAGAAAAAGAAAAGGAAAGGGGCGCCTGGGCGGCTCAGTCATTAAGTGTCTGCTTTCAGCTCAGGTCATGATCTCAGGGTCCTGGGATGGAGTCACGCATCTGTCTCCCTGCTCAGAGTCTGCTTCTCCCTCTCCCTCTGCTGCTCCCCCTGCTTGTGCTCTCTCTCTCTCTCAAATAAATGAATAAAATCTTAAAAAAAAAAAAAGAAGCATAAAAACCAAATATTCTGGATTCACTTTTGGGCAAGCTGTTTCTCAGCATTCCTCTGCAAGCACGCTGTGTGCCCTAACCTCAGCCTGCTCAGGGATGGGATGCAAGCCATTCCTCCAGTGAACAGATCCCACCCCAAGAGGCCACCTCCAGGACCCCTCCTGTGGTGCAAGTGCTACAGCCCGACTCCCAGAGCATCCTGGGGCAGGCTTTCCCCCAGCCACTCTAAGTCAGACACTCTGAGAACTTTCTGAAGGAACAAAATGACCCTGATAGTCTCACTGCACTCCAGACTGCAGACAAAGTCCATTCTGGCATGTCAGGACCGTCTCTACACTACGGCTTCATGGAAAGAAAACTCGAGAGGAAAAGGCAGATATGGAAGCAAGGCCCCTCAGCAGTGGTAAAAGGAACTCCCAGGGTTTGGCACAGCTTCTTTCAGCAAGCTTGGTATCAGGAAGTCAGGAACTCCAGAATGCAAAATGGACAAAGAGAAAAGGTGCTGGAACGGCCAGCCTCTGAAACTCCTCTTTGTTCCCTGCTTTATTTGGATATGCTTCCCTGAAGCCACGTAGTTCTGATACCATGGCTCGGAGCCTCTGTGCTGGGTAGCCTCGTCCAGCTGCCCCTGGGTACCTGGCTTCCAAAGAGCAACCACATAGGTTCGACCCGCTCCCTCCCCTCCACAGAGACAGGCTGGGTTGGCAGGTGTAAGCTCCCAGAGGCAGGATGGGGTAAGGTATAGCAAGGGCGTAGAATGGGACTGGGGTAGGAACCACCCAAAACAAGTCCTTTCCAGGCACCCGCAGACTCAAGGACACAGAGGTAAGTCAGAACAGAATCTTGCGTTCTCAGAGCACATCACTTGTACAGCACTGGGTTTCTGACTCCCGGGCCACGGACCCAGACCTCCCACGGGCCGCGGGAAGAAACAGGAGCACTTACCGGGGAAAGATGGCAGTCATCAGGGCTGAAGCATAGCCAGGCTTGCAAGCTCCCTCTGAAAAGTTTGCGTACTTGGTGGCTAACTCAGCAGGCCTATGGGAAGAGAAGGAAAGTCACAGCTTGCCAGGCACTGAGCAATCAGTAGGGTATTAGTTCTTGAAGAGCTGTAGGTTTTTTTAAACTTTGAATAAAGCTTCATTCTCTACAATCAGCCTTTCAGCCCCTTTTCTATACCAAGGCTTTGTGGGGGGGAGGGGGGAATCCCAAACCCAAAGCCCTAAAGGAATAATAGGTAGATAAATTAGCAAGGCCCCTCTTATAGAATTTCATAAAAGGAACTCACTGGGTTTTGCACAGATTCTTTGCAGCAAGCTTAATACCAAGGAAAGCAGGAACTCCATCCAGGCTCCCAGACCTAGGGAGAGAGCTGCCCAGGCTTTGACTGTCACAGGCACTGCCCTTTCAAGCTTCATTGTGGGGCCCTACATACCAGCCATGCCTGCTTCTATTCTCTCCACACAGACATTCAATGACCCAGCCAGTGGGAACCACTCTTAGTGTCCTGAAGTCAAATATATGTTGGGGCTATTGCTGTAATTAGATGTTTAGCTGGAGACGCTCTCCTGCTCTCCTATTATCTCTGCCTGGAATGTTCTTCCTTGTCCCTCTTCACCTGGCTATGCCTACTGGTCCTTCACAACTAAGCTCAGGTCTCAACTTCACTGGGAGTAATTCCCAACCCCCAGGTTGGGCTAAGTGCCTCCCCTGTGCCCCACAGTCCGTCCCCCTGCCACCCACATTACATGCCATACTGTACTGTCATAGTTGGTAGTATGTCTCCCTCATTATACTGCAAATTCCCAAGGCCGGAGTCTGATTTAACCCTGCATCTCCAGTCCCTTGTGAAGAGATGGGCCCACAGAAGATGCCTATAATTTTCTGAAGGAACAAAATGACTCTGATACAGTCTCGCTGCACTTGTATTGAAATCAAGACAATCTCAGGAGCCCCCAAGTCAGAGTGTTTGCTGAATATCTGCGGAATATTTTTTCAGAAGACTTGTGTGTCCTAGCTCTGGTTTTGTGGTGGCAACTGCAGTCAAATCACTTCACGTCTTTGGGCTTCCATGTCCTTAGGTGTTCCATGCGGGGCTGGAGTCACGGCCCCACCACAAAAAATCCTTGCCAGTGCAGTCCCGAGAAAACTACAGCGGAAGAAGAGGGCTCATTCAGCGACTGCGAGGTTGGAGGCCCTGCATGCTGGGGCACCTGAGGGAGCCCTGGCGGGCTGCCAGTTCCCAGACCCAACCTCCCCCGCCTCCATCCTTGGGCCCGCGGCCAACACGCTGATGCCCAGCTGCTCCACCGTGCTGGGGCCCCCTGGTAAGTCTCCCCTCGGGGCTGCCTTCTGCAGGAACTGGGTGGGGCAGGCCTGGGGGAACGGGGGCTGGCGCCTGGCCTGGAGAGCCAGAAACGATGATGCCGCTGCCCATCGTGTGTCATGTGTGATTCACTCGTGTGTCCGTGTGGGCCTAGCCCGGGGCCGGGCACAGAGGGACTGCTCACTGAATTTAGACAAACTCATCTGTATCCACGTGCAATTTCTTGCAGAAAATTTTTTTTTTTTTTTTAGCCTTTCCTACCAATGAAATGTAAAGCCAGAAATGCAGATGCAAATGCCCGTGCTAAGCCAGAGCTGAGACTTTATTTGGTAGGCCAAAGAAAGTCAAAGGTTTAACAAGAGAATTCACGTAACAGTATTTTCTTATGTAAACAACTTACTTCCGAAACAAAATGTAAACTTCAGTACAACTGATGGACTTGCGGGAAGCTCTTAGACTAGGCAGAGTGACTGAAATACAGCTTTTTTTCAGTTCTTCAACAGCCATGTGAGTAGGTGCTATTAGTTATTAATTTACACATGAGCTCAGAAAGATAAAGAGACTTATCCAAGATCCTACAGCCAGGAAAGTGGCAGATAGCAATGCAGGAGCTCCTAACATGGACCATGGTAAGGCCATCACACAAGGAAGCACCGAGTCCTCTGATAGCTCGGAAGTGGTCAGCATTGGTAGAGAGGGATAGAGAAGAGGGTCAAGAAGGCCTCACACTGCTCTTTGAAAGTGCGTAGACAAGCAGCGAGGTGCTGTGAGTCTCTCCTACCCGTGCCTCCCAATCCCCCACTACCTGTGTGCCTGCCTTGTGACTGTGGGTTCCTGTTTTCTTTCTGGATTCCAGAAAGTTTCACATTGAAGACGAAAGATGGATGGCAGTTGCCCCTCTAACACAGTGCCCCCCAGCAATGTACATACAACAAAAGACAAGCCTTTGGCCATGTCTTTCCTCTTTGGTTTACACCATCAACCTCTGGTGAGGTGCTTCAGGAATAAGGAGCATGTGCAGCCCAAGGTCTGCGGACTCAGGTAATCTCTCATGGAGAAGAGGGGGCACTGGCCAGCTGGAGCACAGGGAAGCCAGAACCCAGCCAGGAAGGCTCTTCCCATGATAGTGCAAGGTAGCCAGATGTCGAGGATGAGCAGCTCTAAATCAATCCCCCATTTAGAAGGCAACAGTAACTTCTAAAACATACAGCCCCGAGGACAGTGGGCCAGGTCAAGTTATTACCAAATTAAAATGCCTTAGCAGTGGCCTCCTGACTACCCCAGGGAGAGAAGAATAGGGGGAGTGTTGGGGATTCTGAGTCATACAGCACCCTGGGACCTCTGGGGCAGTTAGCGGTCAAAACCACCAAGATTAACAGTCGCCAACTCTCTCAGGCCAGAATAGTTAGTTTCTCTAAGGCACTCACACTCCAAATGCCAGGAGGTCCCCAAGGATGTCTGATCAAATCATTCAGCCCTTGTTCTTCTCATACTCTCCAGCTGGCCTTTCATTTTGGGCGATTTAGCATTTCAACCAGTAAGAGCACCCATTGTCCTGCAAACGTGACTACCAAGCCCCTGGGGTGAAGAGTGTGAACCACTGCACTCAAGAGGAAATCCAGGCAGACAGACTGGAACCCAAGAGAAGGAACCACACTTCTACTCCCCTGCTTCACCCAGGAGCATGGAGTTTAAGGATCAGGCCAAGCAAAGTGTTGTAAATGGGAAGAACAAAGGATCTGGAATGAGAAACTCACAGAGGACACTGGCAAGTGGTGTAACTTGGGCAAGTGATGGAAAATCTGATTCTCGGCTTCCTCATCTGCAAGTGGGAACCACTCAATTCCCAGGGACCTTGGGAGGATGTGGTGAGAAAGCACACTTGGAGGGGCTGGCTGTCCTCTAGAGCACCGAGCACCACACCAATGTTATGTGAGAGATGAGGTGGCAGAGGCAGGCATCCAAATCATGATGAATGATGAATGCTTCACTCAAGTTTGGATTCTATGATAGGGGAGCGTCACTGAATGACACCCAGTGGGAGAGTGCATTCAGGGATCAATGTTTGGGAGGTGAGGAGGCTTCGAGAGGCTGGAAGGAGCAGTCCATGAGATAGAACACTAATCTGGAGAGAGTGAGTGTTCTCTCAGTTGCCAAAGGCCAGGAAGTATCTCAAGGACATAGCAACCACCTGCACTGAACACAGTGGAAGGCCTGGCAAGGTGTGGCCACTGGCTTGACAGCTGGCTTTGGCAACATGGAGGTTACTCCTGACCTTGACAAGAGCTGGTTCACTGGAGAGTGGGGGTGAAAGGCTGATTTCACTGGGTTTAAGAGAAAACAGAATGAGTGGAGTCATGGAATAGAGACTACTGTTTTTGCTATAAGGGGAGACAGAGAAATGGGGCAATAGTTGAAGGGAGGAAGCAGGGAAAGATGTTTTTGAGGTTAGGAGACAATTTAGCACGTTTGTAAGTTGGTTGGAATAAGAGGGAAACTCCTGATGTGGCAGATAGGACTGTCCTTGAGGAGGTGGGAGGGGGGAAGCAGGGGGAAGGACCTAATACAAAAGTAGGAGGGCTGGCCTTCCTCTGCTCACCCTGCTCCACACTGGCCAGTGACTGCCTAGTCATCTTTGCAACACTTGGTTTAAGCACCAGTCCCTTCCCCAGCAGAACCAAGCTACCTGGTCATGACAATGGAACAAGACCGTGTAGGTAACACCTGGCACGCTGCTTGACAAGCAACAGTGAATAAATAGTAGTGTCCTTTCAAGCCAGTATAGCAATTTAATCAGAGCTAGCCAATATTATTGTCGGGAGGACTTGCATGAACACACAGATAAGAACCCTCGGCCCAGGGCTGGCCCCACCACTGCTTCTTCAATGCTATCCTCCCTAAGCTTCCTGATGAAGATGCATTTCTCCAATTACTAGAGATCTGTGTCTGGAACATGACTTGGGAAATGGCAGAAGCAGCTTAGGTTAGCTTTAGTAACCCTATTCTGTCATTAAACATTTTCATTTTTCTTTCTTTCTGAAGTAGACTAATGAAAGAAAGGCTACTTAACACTGCCATAGATCTTTTCAGCTCCAAGATGAAACTTTTCTCCTTAAGGATAATTTCTATCTCCTAAGACTGCCTCTTCCATCTGACTCCATTATTACAGATCTGCTGGCTCTTCTTGCATTATCGTTAGTCTCTTCATTCACCCACATTTGGGGGCGGCCAATCCATCCTGCCCTGGGCGTCACTGACCCCTTGCTCTTGTGAACGCCAATGCAGGCTGGGGCTTCCAGATTTTGCCCCACTTACGGTGATCTATAATAAACTTGGCAGCACTGTCCTATGCCTCTTTCATCACTTTAAGGCAGAGGGACTGCTTGATCTGAGCCATCTGGAATCTGTGGTATTTCTCAGCTCTAGAGGACCTGCCTTTCAGCTCTTGCTACTTACTGTGCACTGTAATACCTTTTCAACAAACCAGGCCACTCTGCTCTTTGATCACTGATTCTGGAGTTGACATTATTGCAGTTTATCTTTGTCTCCAGGACCTTGTCATTTATTTCATTTTGGCTGGGAGGATGCTCTCCGGTAAGCTCTTGCAAGTGCTTTAGCCTGAGCTGTATAGGCAATGCTCACAGAGACTCTCCATGAGGGATCTGTTGCAACTGCTCCAATTCAATTTTGTTTCTACATTTCTTAAAAACAAAACAAAACAAAACAAAAACCACATCCTCTTTCAGGGTGGTAGTGGAAAGAACATGGAAACTAACATTTACTGAGCATAAACCATATGCTAATATTGACCTAATTATTTCGTTTAGCTTTACAATAATTCTCTCAGGCAGTACAGCCCTGAGATCCAGGCAGGCAGGGTGTAGAGTCCGAGAGAGGACATGGTTGGAAGATGTGCTGTTCTATTTTTAACACTATAAAATTTCAAATGATAAATTTTGATAGGGATTGCATTGACTCTGTAGATTGCTTTGAGTGGTATGTACATTTTAACAATATTAATTCTTCCAATCCAAGAGCATGGAATATCTTTCCATTTATTTGTGCCTTCTTCAATTTCTTCCATCAAAGTCTTATAGTCTTCAGTGTACAGGTCTTTCACCTCCTCGGTTAAATTTATTTCTAGGTGTTTTACTCTTTTTGAGGCAACTGTACATGGATTTTTAAGGAGTTTCTCTTCCTTATAGTTACTGCTGTATAAAAATGCAACTGATTTTTGTGTATTGATTTTGTATCCTGCAACTTTACTGAATCCATTTATCAATTCAAACGGTTTTTTGGTGGAGTCTTTAGAATCTTCTCTACACAATATCATGTCATCTGCAAATACAGACACTTTCATTTCTTCCTTTCTGATCTGGGTGCCTTTCTTTTTCTTACCTGTTTTGGCTAGGACTTCTAATACCATGATGAATAAAAGTAGTGAGAGTGGACATCCTTGTCTTGTTTCTGACCTTAGAGGAAAAGCTTTCAGCTTTTTACTGTTGAGGATGATGTTAGCTGTGGGCTTGTCATATGTGGTCTTTATTATGTTGAGGTAAATTCCCTCTATACGCAACTGTTGAGAGCTTTTATTATGAATGGATGTTGAAATTTGTCAAATGCTGGGGAGCCTGAGTGCCTCAGTTGGTCAAGCATCTGGCTCTTGATTTCAGGTCATGACCTCAGGGTCATGAGATCCAGCTCCATGTCAGGCTCCATGCTCCATGGGGAGTCTGCTCGAGATTCTCTCTCCCTCTCCCTCTGCCCCTCCCACCCTGCATGCTTGCTCTCTCTCTCTCTCTCTCTCTCTCTAA